CGATACACTAAACTGGAGCAATCCAGTTGTAGTCTACTACTTTCCATTGACGAGCTTGGCTCCATTAATCCTGTGGCGTTGCAGTGGTGGTGGAATTGATGAAACACGAGGGTGATAAGAGGAATCTCAGACAGTTGGTGTTATCGGCATTCTCACGGCATGCCTCGAAAACATAAGTCTCATGGTTCACCAGCGACTCCCTCGTCAATTTCGTCATCGTCATCGTCCACCAATAGAGGGAGCCCCAATCGGAGTATTGCTGAGGTGTCGAGAATAAAATCAGAAGTGAGATGGGATCATACGGAATACAATTGTCGGTCGTGCTTGCGGTAGGTCCCTGGTTCGATCCCTTGTTCATCCATTTAGTTCACGACTACACTCGAACCTCACGCCTCCGCCTTGAGTAAAGCTCTGGGCATCATCCTTACGAAGAGGTGGCTTCTGCTGCCCAATGATTCTATTGGAGAAGCAACTCTGGTCGATGCCACTCAGCCGGTCCTTCGAAAACACTGCCAAACCGTAGGATGGCTCACCGCAGATCTGTACTACTTGGGGTCTTTCCGTGCTTCTACGCAGTAGAATTCACTGAGTGAATGTCGTGCAGAGTTATGGTACCCTTGAGGAACGGATTTTGGAGCTGTATAGGGTTAATCTGCACCATCGAAATTGCAACGCGAAGTTGATGTCCATATCCATGAGAATGCGTTCCTTCATAATGAAATTGTTGTCTCTATTCGTGAATGTGATTTCTCTACTCGCCGAATTGGTGGTACTGATCGCGAAGTAGATCTCTGAGAGCTATAGTACATGGCCCGTCTCTATCCACGTCTTTAGGACCAAGCGAGCTGAACAGATGCTGCTGGATATGCGGTCAGCGTTGGTGGAGTTCCGACAGAAGCATGAGAGAGATCTTGGAAGGATAATTAGGCATCTCGATGGTAAGGTTGTTGTTCCTCGTATCCCTGTTGTGTGTTTCTCGATCTAGCATGCTCAACGACAGTGGGTTATCAATATTTGAGCTCCACCGGTGGACCTGGTGACGATGAAATTGGCATTATTATATTGAGTGAACTCTGGTTTTCAACAAATGTCGCTCACAACAGAAGGGCATCATCATTTCCAACCATCAGGTATCGCAACTACCGCATCCTACAGTGACGAAGGGTTCGGTCCGGAGGCCCTTGAGGGCATCAAAGCCGCGAGTCAGTGTTCAGCTGAGATGATACGCTCAGTGAATGCATTACTGGATCAGCTTGCAGCTATTGATATTGGTCCGGCGCGCCTGAAGGTAGTTGTCATCGTTCAGTGGAAACCAAACTCAGCTGTCTCCTGCATCAGGACGAAGCTTCTATAAACGCCTTGGTCACCGGGCTGGCTTTGTCGCTTCCAACGGCGGATGTGCGCGTGCGTGCAAATACTGATGATACCAGTGAATGAGGATGAGAAGTATCTTAGCGGTGGAAGCTCTGGTTGCGTTCATGCCTGTGGTGCTCTCATTGATCATGAATCAGTCCTTTTTTCATTCAGGCATGGGCCAACAGGAGTCCCGAACATTACCTCCACTACCACAGCAACATGTGGTAGGTCCCTGGTTCGACCCCCAGCAAGGGCATTTTCCTCCCTAGATACGATTAAATCCCGATGGCACCTCAACCGAAGTAGTCCTCAATCCCGCCGGTAGCGCCATGGATACCTCCAATGCCAGTCACTGTAGTAGAACAACACCTGTCGCGAACGGGGAGCAGTTGACTCCAGTCGCTGTCCAAGCTTATGTAACACAGTACATTCGATGCTAGTACGCTGCACAGCGGTCTTCAGGTCGATCGGGCGTCCTTTCGTGTGGGAGATGGCAAGGTTCTGTTCACACTGATATGCTCTGCTGATGCTATGGTGACGGTGTACATGAACGCTATGAACAAGTGTAAGTCTCTCCCTTGCTGTACAGACTCGGAGAATCGGTGGGCCTCAGACAATTCCGCTTCCTCATCTCGTGGACGACGCCGTCTTCAGTGGCCAGTGCTGAGCTACGAGCATTCGCAGAGTAAACGTGTATCGTGTACGGCTCCGAACTACTCGGACCACCCTCGAGTTCGATT